ATTAATATTTGACAAAGAATAGGAGAGAAACAATTATTATAACAATTAATTTATGATTTAAAAAAATTTATGATTTTTTCAAATAAGCAGCCAAACAATTAATTTGACGACGTATAGACACTCGTCACCTCGCCTATACGTCGTTTACATGCAATTCACATAACAATTAAATTAAGGGTTCTATTCCCTCAAGTCAAGGTTAACCACGACACTTACCTCGCTTTACAAATTCCAATCAATTACTCAACCACAGCTTTTCCTTTTAAATTTGTCTCCGAAAGCGTCAAATCCCAATGTTTTCCCGTGAAAATCGCCCAAGAATCGCCTTACCCGAGCTCAAAAATGAAAAAGAGTTAAAAATGGGTCGAAACCCCATTTCTAGAACTTAAGTTCTGTTTCTGGGATTTTTACTCATCGCGATCGCGGAAATTCGTTCGCGATCGCGTAGAACAACTTTTGCCCATGTTCATTTTACTCTTCGCGATCGCGGGAATGGCTTCGCGATCGCGAAGCACATTTTGGCTGCCCAGACTTTTAACTCTACATGATCGCGTAAATGCTCATGCGATCCCGGAGTATATTTTTTCAGCCTTACACGATCACGTAAATGCTCATGCGATCGCGGAGCACAATTGACGTGCCTAGCTCCTACCCTCCTTCATTCTGCACCATCGCATCTGGTCCCTTGAGTTCGCAGTGCACTGGGAGTTTACCTTCCGCGATCGCGTGCCTATATTCGCGAACGCGAAGGGTAAAACTCACTACTTACAATTTATTCCTCGTGATCGCAGGAATGGCTTCGCGATCGCGAATCGCAATGCACCAGATGACAACATAAGCTCAAAAACCAGATTTTCTAAGTTCAAAATCATCCCGTAGCCTATCCGAAACTCACCCGAGCCCTCGCGGCTCCAAACCAACACATGCACACAAGTCCTAAAATATCATACGAACTTGCTCGCGCAATCAAATCGCTAAAATAACACCTAAAACTATTTATCGGACACTAAATCAAAGGAAATTTTCAAGAAAACTTTAAAACTTATATTTTTACATCCGGATGTCCGAATNTCGAATCATGTCAAATCAACTCCGATTCTCACCAAATTTGGCAGAAAAGTCATAAATATTATAGTGGACCTATATCGGGCTCAAAAACTAAAATACGGACCCGAGGTCAATAAATTCAACATCAGTAATTTTTTTAAAATCATTAAGCTTTCAAGCTTTTAATTTTTTATCAAAATTTCATATCTCGGGCTAGGGATCTCGGAATTCAATTCCGAGCATACGCCCAAGCCCCCAATCACGATACGGACCTAGCGAAATTGTCAAAATACTGATCTGGATCCGTTTGCTCAAAATGTTGACCAAAGTCAACTCAGTTGATTTTCAAAGCTTTATTTCACATTTTAATCTATTTTTCACATGAAAACTTTTCGGAAAATTTTTCGGATTGCGCACGCAAGTCGAGAAATGATACATGGTACTTTTTGAGGTCTTAGAACACAAAATTACTTATTAAATTTAAAGATAATATTTTGGGTCATCACAAAATGACTTAGAGTTCTACTACATGTATGACTACTACATTGAGTTAAGTACAAACTCTATAATGCAATCTAACCATCCTTATCTCGTGTAAGCTTATCCTTATCATGATCAGCTTCTTCAACATAACCATTGATAAATCCCTTCACATAATCTCAATTTTAAGTAAAATATACCCAACAAGGTCATCATCGAATTAGGGGATTCTTTTATAAGGGGGACATTACACTTTTAACGATAATTCGATTTGATTTGTTCAGAATAAAAGTATATCTCTATCCCCTTTCTCTATAATTTTTCAATTTCTTATTCGTATCTCATTCTGTTGAGGAGCTTTTCCGTGCATAATTTCTTAGGAGATCAATTGTTTCGATATTTTAGTTTTTTTCTTGAATTGAGCTGTAATAATGAATTATGGATTCATCCTTAATTGATGCGTGGATAGGAATTGGATTATGTGAAAGTAACATTTATAAAANCATAAAAGATGGAACAAAATAAGAAAATGAAAAAGACGTTTTTGGAGGAAAACAGAAACCATTAAACATGCTAAGAAGAGGAGATTTATGCACTTGGAATATTTTTGATTAACACATTTCATTATACCTGGTTAAGACATGTGTAATCTTCATCTTAGATACTAACAGTTCGTTCCGGAAAAATCTTTAGCTCTTTCATATGGTGAAAAAATGCTTATATTAGGTAAATTAAACCTTCTTTATCCTCCGTTTTGAAAATTTTAAATATAGTCACAATCCCAGTTAGTATTTTATTCTTCTTCTTGCAATTTTGCTGCTTTATATATACTTGTACAGGGTTTTTACGTAGGTATTTGTCAAATTCTCGTTACTATCTCGTCGAAGTTAGGCTCGACACTTACAAAGTAAATTGGGTCGGTTCTACTCATACTACACTTCTGCATTTCTTGTGCAGATACTGGTATCGGTCCCAGCGATACTTAGAGGTGCGTCAGCTCGTATCACTTTCACACGGAGGCTTGAGGCAGATCTACTGGCATTCGCAGACCTTGAAGTCTCCTTCCACTTGCTACTTTTACTCTTTATCTCTTTTGAACAATTGTATTTATTTCAGACTGTGTCTGTAGACTTCTAGTTGCTCGTGTACTCGTGACTCCGAATTTCTGGGAATAGTTAGTATCATGTGGTTTATATTCGCATTATATTAGATTTGGCATTTATTTCGCGTTGAATATCATTATTTTGTTTTTAACTGTTAAAATTGGTTAATTACTTATTTCATGTCGACTTGCCTAGCAAGTGGATGTTATGCGTCATCACGATCTCGAAGTTGGAATTTCGGATCGTGACATTATCGTTGGATTCCTAACATATAATCTCTCGGAAGCTCCATTCAAGGACCCCCAAATATTTGGGATCAAAATCTTCGAATTACAGATCTTTCTAATGCTAAATATCTCCTTTCCCATTAATCCCAGCACGCATGATACCCCTATTTGGGGTATTGTTATTATATCTTTTCGTATCTTTCTTTTACTATTCTTTTTACGTCCCTTAATTCGTTTTTCATGCGTCCCAATTGTGCAAAGTCATAAGGTCGAAACTCATTTTAGGATCATCGCCACATATATAAAAGAAAATAAAGAAGGAAGGATAATAAACAAGAAAAATCTATAAACAAAATAAAAACACAAGCAATACGATTAGATGGCTCCAATATTTGACTTGCAAATATTATTTGTACTTTATTCACTAGTGGAAACAACAATCCTTATTTATCCAGTAAGCAGCTGGCCAAGAAGGTTAATTAACTAGCTGATGCATAGTAGTACTAATTAAGCACTAGCATCTAAGGTGAATATCTAGGCTAGCTCGTTAACTATAAATTGCGATTAAGATCAAGTCGAAAACCAGTAGGACCTAAAATGACACTAGGACGAAGGCCGATACTTCCAATAATGGTATTTACTAGCTGCAAGGGTGATTGCAAAAGCCCTTCAGCTGGTAAGCTCGCGTTACATGTTGAGAGTGGAGTTGCAACCACTAGACTGCAGTTGGATAGCAGCAATGGCAAAGTATTTACAAGAGGATCCAACACCAAGGAAAACACTCCAGATCCATTTGTTGTTGTAATTGATACCACATTTCTTGCTCCACACTGCAATTGCACTGATGCATCTGCAAAGTTAAATGATGTTAATATTATTTACGCAATTAGATCAACTTCGCATTTTAGGGATATGTTGAAGATATAATTAATTATGTAAATAAAAAGATATTATCTCACACCATTTAGACTTTTAGATGAAGTGATCGCACAATTCAACAAACAAAAACTTCTTATGAATGTGATGAATGATTATTAATTATATAATCATGGGGCCATATGCAACTTATTGACCGCGAGTGTAGGATTCATTCGGCTCAAGTTACTAAATATTTATACCATCCTCACCAATTGTTACGAAAGGAATAATAGATGCATTATCATTCTCTTAGACTTCAAATCATCTTCCTACATTTTAAGAAAATTTACTTGTAGTTATTCTTTGGATGATCCGATAGTGTATATATACCAATATATCATAGGCTAATAACGCCACTTAGGACTTCTATCATAAGATTTTAGTGTATATATAGGGTAGAGTTTTTAGTCTATATAGGGCAGTGTGTATATATATATTGAAACAAGCTGGGCTACTGCAATGGGGGTTGCGATTAATGCAGCCAAAAGGAAATTCAAGAAAATTTTTGCTGAAGCCATCGCAATTGTTTTTTGATATGTGATAGTTATTGCAGTAAAATATTGTGTTGCTCAATTAAGATGTGTGCATGACCAATTTATAGTAAATATCATTGGATGAAATTTCAAACCTCTAATCCACTTGTTGTGAAAGTGGATTATAAAGCTATTGCATGTGTATATGAATGAACTAATTGAAATTTCAAAAGCCCTAATCCACTTGTTCATTGCTATATTAGATGTCGGTGGTCACCCTGGCTATAACTACATACAATTACTCCAAGCTTCAATACTCAATAGCAGGCCATCCTTTGACTTCTAAAAACTACTTATTTTTAAAGCACTTTTATCAAAATAGTATTTCAGAGAAGTGCTTTCGGAGAAAACAATTTGTTTGGTAAATTTATTTGAGAGTATTTGATAAACATATTGTGTTTGGTCAATTCAGAAATATACTTTTCAGTGTTAAATTATAGGGGAAAAAAAGTATTAAAATTCATTTTACAATTATTATTATTTAAATAGAGAAAAAGTTATAAATAATTTTTATGTAAGACTTTAATTATGTTTATTATAGAAATATATATAGATTTTTAATCAATTAACATATAGTTAAACAAAAATAGGGAATATGAGAAGAGAATATTATTTATATTTGAGAGAGATATGGAATTAACTTATGGGAGATAATTTGGTAAATATAATTATTCTGTAAGAATATTTCTATATTGAAAATTTTAATTTTTCTTCTTTCGAGAAGCAGAAATGTCACGACCTAAAATTTCCACCATCGAGACCGCGATGGCACCTAACATTTCACTTGCTAGGCAAGCCAACGTTAGAATATAATTATCCATTTTAACAAAATTTTAAATTAATTAATAACAAGAAAACAAATGCAGAAATAAAGTCTGGAATAAAGTGAATACTCCATAATAATTGTGATATCTAAATACCATCCCAAAACTGGAGTCGCAAGTGCACGAGCTTATAGAATAATACAAATAAAGGTCTGAATAAAATTCAAGGTGTTTGAAATATAATACACAGCTGAGATAAGATAGAAGGAGACTTCAGAACTGCGAACGCTGTGCAGTTATACCTCAAGTCTCCACAGGTAGCTGTATCCGGGAAAATCTATAGTATGCCGCTAGGACCAACTCCGAAATCTGCACAAGAAGTGCAGAGTATAGTATCAGTACAACCGACCACATGTATTAGTAAGTGCCGAGCCTAACCTCGACGAAGTAGTGACGAGGCTATGGCAGGTCACTTACATTAACTTGTACGCAATAATAGTACTAATAACAACAATAGAAATAAATCAGGTAACTCATTTTAACAGTTGAAGCCAACTCAGCAGTCATAACCAATTATTATTTCCACCAATTTCTGTTGCGGCGTACAACACGATACTACAATATATTCATATTTAATTCTGTTGCGGCGTGCAACCCGCTCCTCCAATATATTCATTTCAATTAGTTCTGTTGCGGCGTGCAACCCGCTCCCCCAATATAAATTTTAAATAAGTCTGTTGCGGCGTGCAACCCAATCCCCCAATATATTTACTTTCATTTCCGTTGCGGCATGCAACTCGATCCCCCAATATATTTACTTTCATTTCTGTTGCGGCGTGCAATCCAATCCCCTAATATATTTTAACAGCTCATAAATATAATAAAAATTACTCCAATAAATATCACGTTCAATGAGAAACTATTAAGCATCAAGGCAGACAATAAGTATAATTTATTTATGAACAAACAATGACAATTAGCAATTAATTATGGAAATCATGGAGAAAATAAGCAGTTTAATATTTAGTATGCTAAATGTCAAATAACAATTAAGACACATAAGTCAAATAAGCATGTAACAATTATTGCAGGAATTCAAGAATTAATATTTGATAAGGAATATGAGTGAAACAATTAATATAATAATTAATTCATGATTTAAAATAATTTATGATTTTTCAAGTAATGCAAATAATTAATTTGACGACATATAGACACTCATCACCTTGCCTATACGTCATTCACATGCATCTCACGTAACAAATAATTTAAGGGTTCTATTCCCTCAAGTCAAGGTTAACCACGACACTTACCTACCTTTGCAACCAAGTTCAAGAATCCAATAAACCTTTGCCTCGCTAATTCGTGTATGAAATCATCAAATCTAGTCATAAACAATTCAATATACTCAATACAAATCGCAGGGATTAATTCCATATGAATTTACTAATTTTTCGGATTAAAATCCGAAATTCATCTAAAAAATCGATAGTGGGGCCCACATCTTGAATCTCAAAAAAACTTACGAAATTCAAACGCCCGTTCCGATACGAGTTCAACCATATAAAAATTATCAAATTCCGATGTCAAATGGACTTTCAAATCTTAAATATTCATTTTTGGAAAGTTTTACAAAAATTCCAATTTCCTCCGTCTAAATCCGAAATAAATGATGAATACAATCATAGATTCATGAAATATTATAAACGCTTTAGGATATAGAACACTTACCCCAATCCATATGGTAAAAATCGCCTCAAACATCGCTTAAATCTGAGCTCCATAGCTCCAAATATATTAAAAATGGCTAAAACCTCGAAATATATCTACTACCCAGGTATTTACTCTTCGCGATCGCGAAGCACAACTTTTCTCAGCCCAAAATTTGCCTTTCGCAATCACGAAGAACAAGTGCCCATCTCTTCCGGACAGTCTCTACTATAATGGTCATAACGTTTTGTACAAAACTCCAAATTGTAAATGGTTTAACTTTCTGAAAACTAAACACCAAGAGCTATAACTTTTATTTGTTGTTCATCTCCCAATTTCTTATAAATTGCGAGATATAAGCTTCTAAAGTCGGTTAGTACAGCAGAATTTTCCTCTACGCGATCGCGACAAGGCTTCCGCGATCGCGATTCACAGTGTTCAAACAGCAAAATTGCTCTTTGCGACCGTGACAGTTTGTCCGCGATCACGATGCATACCTCTGTGGCCAAAAACCAACAACTAAAAATGGCATAGAAATGGTCTGAAACTACCCTGAAACTCACTCAAGCCACTCGGGGCCCCGTCCCAACATACCAACAAGTCTCAAAACATATTACGGACTTAGTCAAAACCTTAAATCACATCAAACAATGCTAAAACCACGAATCATACCCCAATTTAAGCTTAATGAAACTAATAAATTTTAAATTCTACATTCGACGCCGGAACCTATCAAATCAAGTCTGATTGACCTCAAATTTTACACACTAGTCATAAATAATATAACGGACCTACTCCAACTTTTGGAATCGGAATCCGACCATGATATTGTGCTTTTCACATAAAAACTTTCCGAGAAATTATACGGACTGTGCACGCAAGTCGAGGTATGATAAATTATGCTTTTCAAGGTCTTAGAATACCGAATTAACTATTAAATTTAAATATGACCTTTTGGGTCATCACAAGAAATTTATAGTTTCTCCTCAATGGTAGAAAAACTACTTCTGATACTGCTTAGAAGAACTTTTAATTCTTGGTCAAACACCTCAAATCTAAAAAAAAAAATACTTTTCTAAAATATTTACTTTTCAGAAGCTTAGTAAGACAACCTACTTACGATTTGGGCACGAAATGACTAAAACTTATAATAAAGTGGTAGTGATGATGTCTAGACAGGGAAAATCTATAATGTCACCTAGATCCCTTTATGTACTAATGAAAGAAGCTTACGGTGAGGGCAAGGGGCTGGGCGGGAAAAGGTCAGGTCTTAATATTTCACTTTGTTGGGTTCGGTCATCGAATCTCAAAGACTGTGTATGACTCTTCAAATATACGGGTAAAGGTCTTAGACCCCATAGACGGGCAAAGGCACTAAGTCCGGGGCCCCACGCCACATTCTGCCATATCCATAGTAATGTCAAACCATTAGCTCTGATACCAGTTGTTGGGCTAAAACGGCTCAAAGATATACTTAACATAGTGTAATATTGTACGTTTTGAACCAAGGCCACACATTTTTTGCAAAATGCCCCACACTATTAAAAAAAATTCAACTCATTATAAGTAAGTTTTTTCCTTTTTACTTTTCATGTGAGACTTTATTACACATACCCAACACACTTTTACTAAAAATAAAAAGGTAAAAAAGAAGATACAGAATGTATTTAGTCATATTTCACGATGTGTATATATATGGACCAAAGAATTCTCCTCACAATCACAAAGGGGTAGAATTCTTAAGCAGGAGAACACTTTAAATTCCAAGAAAGAAGGAAAATAAAAGATTTGTATTTACGGTTATCCACCGTGGATTTGATAATTGTTGCATAAAGAAAAAGTAAACATTCATGTGGACCATACTCCATAGAGATCTTGAACTTTTGGTTAAAAAGTAGTAATTTTTTTAGTAAATGTATGCCTTATATTGTGGAGTATTTAAATAGCTTCTCCTAATGAAAAGATGAGTCAAATGGTTTTGTGGGTCTTTACAAACTTGTTTTTTTTAGGAAATATACTATTAGGTTATTCCCCTAGTAGCTGTTATATATAATAAATCCCAAACTGGATAAAACTTACAAAATATTTAGGTAAACTACAAACAAACAATACAACAAAGAACTCCAATGGCTATTGCTACCAAATACAATGTAGCAGTAGTGTAATGAAAGCTGGAAAATACAAGGCTAGTAATTTGAAACATCCAATTATTGTCGACGACTATGAATGCACACACCAGTTACCAACAATTTATTGTGGCACCTACAAAGCTCTCACCAGGCGCCATTTGTTGCAATCCAAATGAGTAGGTATGTTTAAATTCAATAGTTGTAAAGCAAAGCATTTTGGACATTGTGAACTTTGGGTTGAAAATTCCAGCATCATTGTTGATACATTAAACATGAATTTGACATGAAAGCATAAAAGAGACAGAGTTGTCTTCTTGATACATGAGGACAATATAGTGTCTTCTCATCTCCAGATTGAGCATGCATACTCACTAATACCACTGGATAATGATATAACACTAAACTGT